TTATTTACACACACTTGCAATCGTCTTTCCAAAGAACTTTGAACATTAGAAATTAGTCTTGTATTTTGTCGTAGTTCCTCGGCTACCGCATTAACTTTATTGGTTAATTGTTCAACACTATTAATAGGTTCATTATAAACCAGTTGTTTCATGTGACCCCACAAAAAGAAATCGCATGGATTTAAGTCCGGAGATCTCGGAAGCCACTTAGTAGGTCCATTTCTGCCTATCCACTTTTGAGGAAATCTAATGTTCAAAAACTGCCGTACGTTTAAATCAAAGTGAGGAGGAGCGCCATCTAGTAGGTACCACATCCGTTGCCTTAATTGTAACGGTATCTCTTCTAGGAGTACTGGCAAAATATCTTCTAAAAAGTGGAGATATCCTGGCCCATTTAATCTGTTCGGGAGAACATAAGGCCCGATTAAATACTGATCTATTATGCCAGCCCAAACATTTATTGAAAATTTTCTTTGATGCCCAGTTTCCCTAATGGCGTGAGGATTTTCATCACTCCAAATATGCGTATTGTGCATATTGAACACGCCATCACGAGTGAATGAAGCCTCGTCAGTATACAATAATATTTTTAGAAAATCAGGAATATCAACACATTTTTGAATCATCCATTCACAAAACTCCACTCTCTTTTCTTCATCACCTGGATATAAGGCCTGGACTTTTTGGATGTGATAAGGATGTAAACCTTGTTCTTTAAGTGTACGCCACACAACAAATGAGGACACTCCAATTTCAAGACCTAGTCTTCTACAACTTAATTGAGGCCGGTTTTCAACAGCTTCCAATATTTCTTCTTCGGCCGCCAATGTTCTTTATGTTCTTGTTCTCCCTCGATCTGCATTGACACTCTCAAATTTTCCATGGTCTCTTAAATGCTGAACAGTTGAAATAAACGTACGACAGTCCGGAATTCTCCGATTTGGAAACCGTTCGCGATACAGGATTTGTGCTTGCCAAGAATTTTCTCCAGCTGCCCCATAAATCAGCACTATATCCGTTAGTTCAATATTCGTAAATAGTGGCATCGTAAAAAAATATTTAAAAGTAATCGTAACAACACTTTTTACCAACTTGGAAATGACGCGCTCGTGTTAGCCAGATTCGTAAATCAACTAAAATTTTAATAATCTATAGTTTCAAAAATGTATAGTTTAAAAACAATCATTTATCAAATATTCTAGTTTTTTGATAACGAGGGTAGTAAAAACCAGTCTTCGGAAATAGAAATTAATTCGAAAATCTTGGCAACATGGTTATTTCTTACAAGACTAGTTTTCTTATCATCTGACAAAAACTTGCATATTAATTACTGTTGATGTTTAAAATAGGTAAATAAACCTAATTTATATAGGTCATCCTCAACATATCAGTGAAGTACGTTTGTTTTAGAATTAATTTTCAAAAATTAATAACTCCCTTAATAAGGGGTATTTTTAAAAAATAATATTTTTCTACATTCAGTGGGGATCTGCGCAATACCCAGTTTTAATATGTACGTGTATTTCAATAACACCCTGTATAATCTAAATTTGAAACTGTAAAAATTCGTTGTATATTCGTTTTTGTATCGGGTACTTTAACAATCAAAATGGAATTTTTATCTTCTATGTCATCGACCGTCATTTTAGTGAGTTCCTCACGGCGGCAAGCACCCGAAATACCCAGTATTAAAACAACCTAAAAGGAAATCAGTAATTTAAAAAACACATAAAACAATCATCAAAAATCTACCTTAACCAACAAATAGGTTTCATCATCTGCCTCTCTTATGAATTGTTCAACTTCCTCTCTAGTCAATACCTTAGATTTCTTAGGATGGTTTCCAACTGACAATTTTTTCAAATATGGAACCAACTTGGTAAATTTCTTAAAATCCACGTTTTCTTTAACATTGAGTGTTTCTTTCAACATAGAATATATTGCCCATAACGTGGAAGACTTCAGCTTCTTAGATTTCTCTGCAAAATATGCCAACAGCACATTTTCGGATATTTTTCTGGCTTTATTTGCTTCACACCACTCTATAAATTGCTGATATGCATTTTCATACTGGCGCCTCGATTTCTCCGGTAAAATATTTGAAATTACTGAATTGGCCGCATCTGTCAAGTTAGGTGGGGTACTGCTTACATCATCGTCGCTCGAAATTTCCATTATTTTTCAGTTATAAATATCACGCACGAAATTGACGCGAATAAAAAGTCACTCCAAAATAATTATCAAGAACTGTCACTTTGAAATAATTGTCAACAAATGCCATTTTATTTCCATAGTTACAGTAATTACTTGATTTGGAAAAACAGTTTAAGCCAGTTCAATACTATTTTTCATATTAAGCTAAGCATGTTACTTATTTTAGAATATTTTTGACGTTTGTAGAAAAAAATTTTGTTTGCATCTCATGCGCAAAATACTTTGGTGACCTCGACTATTTTTTTTAACGAGGCGCAGCCGAGTTAAAAAAAATCAGTTCTCGATCACCAAAGTAGCATTTCGCGCACTAGATACAAAAATAACTATTATATAAACAAACAATTTTAAAATGCTTACTATGCAAAATCTTTTCTTCTATATATTCTTCTATACTATGGGCAATATAATTGATGTGACAAACGTTTCGATCGCCCTCGGTATTTTTAATGAATTTTTTATGCGACAAATTAAAATTAATGATCGTAAAAGAAATAAATAAAGCGCTAATCCCGGTTACAAAATTCTAGTCAGTTACAGAAACAAATGGATGTCCTTTTCGAACATGACGGTAAATTATTATTGAATAAAATATGGCATTGCAATCTCATTATTGTTTGTTAGAATGAATGATACACTTTTGTTGCACGATTCTTCATGATATTTAACATTTTTGCCTTGACCATAATGGCTGGCTGGTATTTTCCTACTTTTACTCCTATTCACGATTTTCTAGTAATTTACCAATAATAATAAAAAACTTATTTTTTTACGAAAAGACTATTATCCTTGTTTTCAAGAATATTACGGTTGCATAACACAAGATTGAATTTTTAAATTATAACTATTTTGGTTTTGTGCTAGTTGCCGAGAATTATTAATGAACAGAAATTACTTTCGGAGTACCTCAAGGCTCCCATTTAGAACCTTTTCAGTTTAACATTTAAAATAATAATATTTGAAAACATCGTAAAGGTTATATAGACAATAGTGATTCTAAACTTTTTTATCGCCAGGGTACATTTTTAAAGATTTTAAAAATTTGCCGTCACATTTGCAATAAGATGAATTTAAAAGAATTGAACTTGATTAATTAATTATTAAATAATTTGAAAATTTGGAAACAAATTTAAAATTCTCCTACGAATTATTAAGACCATACCCGAAACCCAAGGTTGAAAACAAATACTTGAATATTTGAAAAATTAATTAATGTAAACCTATTCGTCTTGTAACCCAATCAAGGTAAAGACAGGTCCATCACATACCAATGATGCTTTGATGGAATCCTGACGTGCGTAATTACAACTACAAAATAGACAAATTGGACTTTTCTTACCGGAAATATAAAGAATCAAGACTTTATATTTCCAGAGAATAATGTTGCGGATGTACTTATCTCTTTTCCGAGTCCTTCCTTTATGCCGCTAATGGTAGTGAAAGGTGAGCAATTTGTCTCTTTTTCTGTTGCAAAATCTGCTTGTGCTCTTTTAATTCTTTCCTCAGAGTCGACTTCACTTCGGAAAAAATCTAATAACATTTGCGAAGGGTTACTAAAACCGGAATAAAATGTACTTTAACCCTCATTTATGTTGTATTGATACCTATTATTGCGAAGTCTTTCTTATGCTTTTAAGATTTCTTCAGGCAGAGCAGAGTCCACTAACGGAAATAACATAGCTGCATATTTTTTACTTGTAACACCCAGTGATTCTAGAGAGTTTAACTGCGTTTCTAAGTTATCGTAAAGAGTGGTTAGTGGCATACCTAAATGCGCATTACTTTTTTAAATAATGAGATAAAGTAGTTCATGGACATATATCTCGATAAGTATCTCATCTGTGGCAAAACGTGCCTTCATTTTATCTATCGTCTTATAATAAGTTTCTTTATTTGGTGGATATCGTTTTATTAATTAATTTTCTTGGATTAGAGGCTTCTTTCATGGAACTTATCAAGTACTGAAATTTATCTTCTACGTCAATATCGCAGTCTTCATGGATTTTTTAAAACTAGCCTCAAGAATCAATTTAGTTCTTTATATCTCCATTTAATTTCTTTAATTGTATTTAGGGTAAGTTAAATCGTTTCTTTTTCTGTCATCTCTGAATATCTTCTTTCTTCTTTTGCAAGGCACGTTGACATTTTATCCTATAGCGTATATGTTTAGACCTGTATTCTTCAGCTTCTTTTAATTCGTGTTTTATTTCTTCAGTGAGGAGTACATATCATCTTTAATGTTTGTGACTAAATTGCATAACCTTTCTTCTTGGTCCCGTAGTGTGCTTATTAAAACCTGCAAGTGAAAATCATTAATGACATCATTTTTCAGTGCGGATTCGAGTTCTGAAATTGGTTCCTTGAAGGCTTCTCTTAACTTGCCTCTTTATACTTTCAAGTTCTCCATCGTAGGTTCTGTCACGGTCGCCACAAAAGTTAATAACACAGGTTTACAAAAAAAGTCCGGACTATTTGACCGGAAAATGGTATTTCTAGGTATTTTAGCGTCCTGATTCCGATTCCGGGGTCAGTTTTGCTGCATCACGTCAGAACACCCAGATTTCAAGGTTATTCAGAGGTTAAAATGGTGCTTTTTCGGAACCGGCCCCAGGAAAATTTCTAAAGCGCTTTGTTAAGCTGAGGGGTATTGTCTAGGTCGTGAATACCTTCCAAACATTGGACAGGGGCCATGAATCTCGAAGAAGATAACGGTAGATGAGGAAGAAGCATGGAAGAGCTTTGTAAATATTTCGCAGAAATTTCTTGGGAATACTAAAGACCCAAACTATATGGAATTGGTGGAGGGCTTTTTCCAGAACTCTAGAGCCATTGGATGTTTGATGAGCTTGAAGGTCCACTTCTTGGAGTCGAATTTGGGAAATTTCCCAGAAAACGTCGGACATTTTAGCGAAGAACAAGGTGAAAGATTACACCAAGATATAAAAGAGATGGAAAGACGCTACCAAGGTTTCTGGGACATTAACATGTTGGCAGATTACTGTTGGAACTTGAGGGATACCAACAAGGGGCATAAGAGAAAGGCGCTTAGAAGGACTTTTGATCAAAACTGCAGACCCCATAAACAAGTAGGCAAAGATTGAAAAATTGGGAGGGGAAAAAGTGAAAGGCGAGGGGACTCACTATAAACAAGCACCTCGAAAGGACCAGTATCTGCATCGTCCCCGTCGTTGTTCCTGGGTAATGCTAATAGCAGAACTAAGTTTATCATCAGACTCTAAGTCATAGTCGAAAATATTGTATGAGAGCTACACCAATTCACTTGGTGGAATGTGAAGTCTTATCAGAGGGATTGAATTCCAATAGCCTGCCTCATTAGAAAAAAGGTGGCAAACTCTGAAGTTGCGGGTTCGGATCCTCGGGCTATTTTCTGCAACCTTAGTTTGCACCGGACAATATACTCAGCTACTCTACTTTTTGGATGATGTTCTAGGAGCACTTTGTGAAGTGCTGGCATTAACTGAGGATAACTCAATTTTCAAAATTGTACGTGTTGGCAAGGGAAGAAAAATTCACGAGCTAGAATACCTCGAACCACTTGAGCATAACTCCAATGTTCTGGCAAGCTTCTAGAGCCATTTGAGTCGGTGCTGGATCCACTGTCATTATCTGACAGCAAATGGATCGCCGAAATTAAACACCTTGGCAGTGAGATCGAAATTCACGAGATACAACGATTATGACAACATTTTATCTACATGGCTGGCCCTGCGCTGGTCAGTTCCAAAAATCACCATTTTGACCTCTAAATGACCTTGAAATCTGTTTTTTCTGACGTGATGGGGCAAAACTAACCCCGGGATTGGATTCAGGATGCCAACATACCTAGGAATGCCATTAACCTTGAATACCAGATCACAGATGACATGAGTGCACATAATAGGCTGATTTACTAGCCCGAGATGGGGCATCAAAGGCTCTTTTTGGCCCAGAACCTTTCTGTGATCACAAAGACAGCAATCACAACTTCGACAAAGCCTGGCAGAAGAGACCTTGTGCTGATTCTATCAGGATGAAGAGGAAGGAATAAATTTACAGTACACGTATTGTACTACTGATCTATTATGACTGAAATTCCTTTCATTTAGGGAAGAAAAACGAAGAGTAATTAGTTACACCGGAAAGCTACTTACTAGCCTACGAAGTCTACTTTAAAAGACCAAACTGGACAAAATGGACCTGAAAAAGTCCTAAACAAATCTAATCTAATATAAATTACCCCAAGTCGCTGGGGCGTTCGTTGCTAAGCGATGTGGAGTACAATTTGGTTTCTGTGCATGTGGTCATCTGGGATGCAATTGTTTTAGTTCATGTTCATAATCTTTTAGAATTTTTGGAGATTGCGCCGTAAATATCAGCTGTTATAGTTTCACTATTACTAGTTTCGAACCTGCACATATTCTGTTTTGGTTTTACTGAAGAATAATTCCATAAACAATCGGAACATTATTTTCGGCCCTGACCAAAAGCAAGAACAATTTCAGAATTGATATGTTCTAGCGTTCGTTTTTTTGAAATTAGTTTTGTTATTGGGAATCTGTAGCTACGTTTTTTGTATGCATTTTTGCAAGGAAATTACAAATGGCGAATGAGAATGAGGCAGTTGATTAGTTGATGTTGTGTTATAAGTTTGTTTATGAATAAATTAATTAATTTATCTTCGCTTTACAATATTGCATGGCCTCTTTGTTACTATTAATCCTTCGTTATTTTTTCTTTTTTAATTATAATTTTGACATTTAAGTGTTATGACAAATCCTTTGGTTTTGTGTACAAATTAAATTGTTGCAGAATTGTATAGAATTAAGGGCTATTGCGCAATAGTTTAGCAAATGGTTCTGGAACTATTCTCAAACGATAGCCAAAACAAACCTTTATTATTAGTCCCTTAAACAGTAACTTAATGGTGTATAAACATTTTTATCATTAAAATAAATGTTAGCAAAGCATGTTGTTATTAATAAATTTTATCGGCAAAAAACATTGTAAGAATTAAACAATAAAACTTAATGTCGAATTAAATAAGATCAATTTAGGACAAGTTCGCAATGAATGATATTCCGATAGCACGCAAGTAGATTCTATTTGATTTTATTTCAAAACCAATAAGTACCACAGATTTCAATGGTTCATTACAGAGTTATACATAATTTCTAGCATTACGACCACATTTTTCACCAATTACAGAGCATAAATAAAGTGCTAAAATGTTAACAACATTTTTACGCCGTGTAGAACCAGGGGAGCGCACAGATTTTTTCTCCTAGGGCTGCAGATATAATAAAAGTATTTTGTAAAATATATTTTTCTCGAAAATAATTTTTTACAGATATTCAATAAGAGGAAAACATTTTAAATTGATAGTTGAATGTATAGGGTCCAGATCTATCGCTTATACTACCTTATTTGTTTTTAGCATAAACCCTTAACGCTATGGCCCATATTTATAAACAGATCTTAGCTGAGAAAGCCTTAAATGAAAATTAAAGTTCTCTAAACATAAATACTTTAAATTTATTAATTTGTAAACATTAAATTTTAATGTATATCAAAAAACAGATTTGAAGAGTAAATTTACCTTCTTTTAGCCCTATGGGAAAATTACTAAGTTACTCGCCCTATATAAATAGCATTTATTATTTGAATCGCTTTCTTACCTAGTTACTAATATAGATAAAGTTATTTTTTTGCTATTTTTAATATTTTAAAAAATATAAAAATGCATCCACTTAAAACTTATATTTTTGAAAATATTAAAAATAAAAAGTGATAAAATTTCTTAAATTAAATCAATTCTGTTTTTTGAGGTTACTTTTTAAGATAAGTTGGAAGGACAGCAATTTTTAAGCGGTTGGTTTTTTTAAAACAAACGAACGTATTATACATTTTTAAAAATATGCTTTAAAATACTTTAATTTGTGCCACTGATTACTTCAAATTTTAATTGTATATGTCAAATAGTCTCTGAGTAAAGCGACTGTGAAGATGGACAGACAAAGGGACAACTAGGTGATTCAATAATTGTTTCTTATTGCTAATTTTGGTACTAATGAGACAAATAACTTAAAAAATTCTATGTTTTGTCTTCAAAATTTTATGTTTTTTTCATGTTTTGTCCTAAGTATATCTTCTTCAAATCGAAATTTGATATATGGTTTTATCACGAGAAAAACGAGACGAGAGAAGCGCCTTCTCGTAGGGACGAGAGGACAGTTTTCTCTGGCCAGGCGAGACGAGAGCAGCCTTTATTTCGACTTGTTTCGTCTCGTGGAATCACTACTCTTGAAAATGTACTCTTTTGACGAAATTCCACAGTGCATTTTGCAGTAAGGGCTACCAGATTTTACGAATTTGACGTGCAATTTCTTCTTTAAGTTTTTAGTGGTCTCACGGTGCCTAGATCATACTTTTCAAAAAAATTCAGAGAAAATAATCCAAACAAGTTAAATCGCAACTTCTTGGCGGCCAGTTTTGGTCTCCAAAACGAGACAACACTTGGAAAATGTGGTTGCAACAACGTCATTATTTCGTAAGCGGTGTAACAGGTGGTGCCATCCAGTTGAAACCACATCACACATAAGTCTATTTCGTCAAATTCTTGGATGAAAAAGTCTGCCAATATGGCTGGATAACGATTGTCGTCGACGGCCTTAACTATTTTCAAAAAAGTATCATCCGATTATACCTTCTGTCCATATGGTACACAAAACTGTCTTTTTTGAGGATGTAACGAAAGATATATGGATTTTCATCTATTCAAAGCCAAAGATTCTGCTTGTTGAGGTGAAAATGAGCCTCGTCACTAAAGATGATTTTGGGTTGGAATTCATCGTCAATTTACATGAATAGATTTCAAAGATGAATTTTGTAAATAATATTACAAGATTGTTTTCATGAATATGTCGATGTTTGTTATAAGCCAACTCCTGGATGTCAATTTAGCTTCTAATTTCTTGATCTGATTGTTAGATGAGTCGAACTAATTGTTCCATTTTTATTAATTGCTTTTTCAATCTTATTTCTTGTTCTTCGTTTTCCTGATTACATTCTAGAGGCGTTAATTGGCTTTGACTCTCGTCTGTGGCTTTTGGACACATTGTTAAGTACTGCTTGGCTTCATCATATTTTAATTTTATTTGGTCATAGTATAGGTATTTAAAATAAATATGGTTTGGGATGTCTAAATCTTCTAGTAATTCATGAATTTGTTGTATTGCATACCATAGTTCCTCTAGCTCACTAAACCGATTTTCAATGTTTTCTTCCGTTTTTCTTGACCTGGAATCCTTTTTTGAATTTCTTTACAGTTGTATTATTTGTTTGTCCAATTTTTTTTGTTACTGGGATAAATTGTTTGCTTCTTCCATTTTATTTTATATTTTCTAACGTAGATTTTTCTTGACAAAACTTTATTTATTTTGTGCAATATTTTTCAAAATTTTCTAAACTTTTGCTTCGAAGGACCAAGATCCAGTTGGTAAAGTTATTGCGCTTTCGTTAGATTGCAGCTGTTGAAGTCAGCTGGATCTTGTAATCATAAAGTTTTAATTTTTTTCAACTTGAGCAACCTATTGTATTAAAACCCTTTTGTTTAGAAGGGTTTAGTGAAATGTTCACAGACTGACACTATCAGACGTTGACTGACGAGTTGATTTTGGTATTCCACCCCCGAAGGTTCTACTACTACCCCCAAAGACACCAAGAGCATGATCTGAGGTTTCATCTATTCGCCTCTGGTTGAGGATTGTTCATCTGACTTAAAGGGAGTTCCAAAGACTTGACTCGAGAAAGGAGGTTTTATTTATTTTAATTAATTTTATTCATACCCTTTTATGGCTTAAACAATATTTTAGATATTTAAGTTTTTTGAGTAATATTTTGGGAAGAGAATTGTCCAATTTTGTACGAGATAGTGTATTACATAGTAATGGGATTTTATTAATTTTACTAGTTGATGAGTTATGGTAATTGTACGACTGAAATCAAGTGATATTTTTGACGAATTTTTATAAACTTTTTTTTTTTACTTTAGAGTATACAAATAGCACCTAAAGTGCAAGCCCTGGTACCAGCGCCATAACCC